TACCTAGAAGTGAGGGTAGGTTTTTGTGAATTGAGCACTTGAAGAGTCTAGTTTATTTCAAAATCCTGCTGGATTTTTAGAGATGCAGCCAACAAGGAAACATTTAGAATTCCATCTTCAGTCTTGTTCCAAAAGTATTTCTCAGGGGTTAGGCCTGGTAAAGGCAGTAGCAGGTGTAGGGACAAAATTTTCCCAGTCTTACAACAGAAGATTGGATTTCATTGCCATGAGTGCATTTAAGGTTGGGGAAGAAAGACCTGAAGAAGCACAGAATGGCTTTTCAGCTTGCGCACAAAAAAAGGAAAAAAAAAAAAAAAAAAAGGGAGAGGGCAGATGTCAAAGGAATAGACTATTTTTCTTCTTTTTCTTCCTATTTCTCTGGCTAGAGAAAAAAAATAAATGACAGTCATTTTAAAAGGAATTTTCACTTCATATGTTGTGTGTCATCTGAGGTTGTTTAAGACACTTTAAATTACAGTATATTTTGAAATTGGGTTAGTGTTTTCAAATTTATTTATTTATTTATTTAAGTAGGAGTGGCATGTTCTACCCTCACATTTTTAACCACTTCTGGATTTTGGAACCTGTCAAATTATATGCAGCTTCCCCAGTGCCCAATACAGGGGGGCAATCACTGTCCTAGTCCTCCTGGCCACATCTGACATTTATGGGGAGACATCCATGTTAAAATATACATAAATACTTCAGAGCTTAGTACTAAGCAAAGCCACAAGGTGGCACAGTCATCTGCTCTGAAGAGTTGCTCACCAGACTTCATTTCCCAAAGTAAACACAGCTCCAGTTTCCCTTTTGAAGGGGGAATCACCCATCCCATCTCCACCCCTGCCTTCGATTTCACAGAGTAAACACTGATGGTGGGTGTAGCTTTCCTGGGAGTGAGATTTTTGTCGTATAATAAAACCCTACTATGGAAATACTTACATGGCAATATTTTGTGGCTGCTGCTAAATTTTTCACAGCCCTAGAAAATCTGTAATAGTAAACCCCCATTTTGCCAGTGGAAATAGCATCTCTGCTAGGCAACAGTTTGTTTGGTGCCTGATTTCAGCATTAATATCATGAGGCTTATGCAGGTTTTCAAAACAAGTTAATCTATTTATCTATCTCCTCATTTTCTTCTTTGGAGGGAAATATGGAAGGTATGGAAATCCTGAGATGAGCATCTGGGAGAGGCAAATGCCCAAAGGGAACAAATGATCTTTTGGGGGCGAGAAAAAAAAAAAGAAAATAATGTCCAAGAAAACAGCACTTGTTTGCAGAGACACCTGCATTTGTCAAGGGTATAGGGAGGATTTAGCATCACCAGGAAAAAGCAGAGCAGTAAAGGGAAATCATCAGCATATCTGTAATTTTCTCTTTTCTTCTTGCCTACCACGGAGTAAATGCAGACTTTTGGAGCTGCTTCTGTTTGCTGACTGAGTGTTGTTTGACGGTAGGTGAAAATAATTTCTCTCATGTAGACTTCTGTTTGTCTTTGTCTTAATAAGAAATATTCCAGTGCCCAACCTGCGCACAGACATCCTGGTCCTTTGGCTGGAAGAGACAGTGTTTTGCTGTTTACTTCTGAAAGGAAAGACACCCAGCAATGATGCATCTCTGCTTGGTGTTAAAAAGTTCTGACAACTGATCCTTTTGGTGCTGTTGAAAAGAGTTATTTGTCTATACACATATATACACATATTTTCTTCCCTGTCCCTCACTTCTGTACTGTCCCTTTTTGGAGGTTATGTATATAAAATTGCTATGTGTGTTATATCTCTCTAGATATATATTTATCACTTCTACATATGTTTAGATATGAGTGCTTGGGAATCTTGAGGAATTAACTAACTATCCTTGACTGTTGAATTGAAATCAATCCCTGTATATATCCCAAGTCAAGCCAGACTCCCATGTAGAAAATGTACATTTATTCCCCTGTTCATCACTTCTGTATTGTCCCTTTGAGCTTTGCTCCATGCCACAGACTTAAATGGCTGTGCTGAGCATCCTGTCCTTTGTGAAGGCTTCGTTCATGGGGCAGATCAAACCCCAGGGACACAAGTATGATCCTATAGGGTCCCAAGGCTGCTGCAGGAGCTGGCAGACCTGAAAAGAGCCAGACTCAAGGCTGGGTGCTTGCAAATAATGTGTCCAAGCAAATCCTGCTCCAAAATGTGCTGTTTATCAGTTGCAGAAGTCCAGAGTTTAATTCAACAAGAATGAAATCAAACTTCTAGCACTGCTTTGCTTTTCCTGTCCAGAGGGCAGAGATTTACTTTGGGTGGCCTTTCTCATAGTAATTGATGAAATGCCTGAAGACACCCTCCTCCTCCTTGCATGGGAAATCAGAAGTTTGAAATCTCTGTGAACTCACACCCTGTACATGAGGCATATGGGAGTGCAGCAACTGATGACCTAAATGAGAACATGGAAGTATTTAGAACTCAGTGTCTACTCCTAGCCCTGGCTGTAAATTCCTTCTGTACATTGTGTGGGCTTTCCCCACTGAACTTCACCAAATGTCTAAAATGCAGCAGCAGTGTGTCAGCAGGGGCATATTATATTCTCAGTCCCTCCCACAGGCTGAGGTGCCTGAGCACCTTCATCTGAGCTGCTGCAAGGAGAAACACTACACTTCCCTTCCTGTAGGACTGCCCCAGGAGAATGGATCTTTTTTGTGCTAGCTTGAAGTTAAGATGAAAAATTACTGACAGGGCATCTCCACTGCATTATTTTTTTTCCCCAATCACTGTGCATCTTCCCCTGCCCTGCCAGAGGCTGACAGAGAAATTATATTCTTGATCAAAACATGCCATCTGCTGTTTGCAAGAAGGGAGACATGTATAGTCAATAAAGCCAGTGCATAAACTAACCAAACTGGAAATGCATTTGCATTGCAAAACCAGTCGAAAGTCCTGGGTGCCACAGGTTAGAGTCTGACCTTGGCCACTATACAAAAATCACCTGGCACCACTGCATTCTTGGAATCATAGAATCATTAAGGTCGGAAATGCCCTACAAGTAATAGACTTTAACCATTAGCATAGAACTACTGTGTTCACCACTAAACCTTATCCCAAATTGCTGCATCCACATGCTTTCCGACCACTTCCAGGGATGGTGACTCCAGCACTCACCTGGGCAGCGTGTTCCAATGCCTGACAACTCTTTCAGTGAAGACATTTTCCCCAACATTGTCTAAACTTTCCCTGTTGCAGCTTGAAGCAGTTTCCTCTCATCCTGTCACTTGCTGCTTGGGAGAAGATATCAACTCCCACCTTGTGACAACCTCACTAAACTGATAAGATCCCCCTGAGCCTCCTTTTCTCCAGGCTGATCATCCCCATCCCCATCAGTTGCTCCTCAGAAGACTTGTATTCCAGCTCTGTTGGTCTTCTTTGGACTCACTCCAGCACGTCAATGTCTTTCTTGGAGTAAGTGGCCCAAAACTGAACTCAGGATTCATAGTGTGACCTCATTGGTGCTGAGTACAGATCCTTTCCCTGGTCCTGCTAGCCACATTATTTCTGATGGCCGGGATACCATTGGCCTTCTTGGCCATCTGGGCACTGCTGGTTCATATTCAGCCACCATCAGCCAGCACTCCCAGGTACTTTTCTACCCGACAGCTTTTCAGCCACTTTCCCCCCAGCCTGTAGCATTACGTGACTGTTTTGTCACCCAAGGGCTGGGCCTGGCATTTCAGCTTGAACATCATGCAATTGGCTTTGTCCCATCGATCCAGCCTGTCCAGATTCCTCTGCAGAGCCTTCCTACCCTCTAGGAGGTCAATGCTCCCATGCAGCCTGATGTCATCTGTGGACTGACTGGGGGTACTTGATCCCCTAATCCTGATCGTTGTTAAAGATATTAAACAGAATTGGCCCCAACACTGAGCCTTGGGGAACACCCCCTCTGAACGGTCACCATCTGGATTTAACTTTGGTCACAGCCATCTCTGGGCCCAGCCATCCTGCAAAATTTCTACTGAGCAAAGAGTGCACACAATCAAGCCACGAGCAGCCAGTTTGTTCAGGCAATGCTGTGGGAAATGCTGTCAAAGGCTTTATTAAACTCCAGGCAGACAACATCCACAGCTCTTCCCTCATCCACCGAGTGGGTCACCTAGTCATAGAAGGAGATCAGTTTGATCAAGCAGCAGATGAGTTTCACAAACCCATCCTGGCTGGAACTGATCCCCTGGTTCTCCTGTGTGTGCCACATGCTGGCACTCAGGACAATCTGCTCCATGACTTCCCTGGCACCAAGGTCAGGCTGACATGTCTGTCCTTCCCCAAATCCTCCTTCCCACCTTTCTGTAAATGGACATTACAATTGCTGACTTTGGTCATCTGGGAGCCCCCTGGTTCACCAGGACAGCTGGCAGATGGTTGGAAGTGGCTTGGGAAACTCTTCCAGCAGCTGCCTCATTGCCCCTGGGTGGATCCTATCAGGGCCTATAGCCTTGTGAATGTCTAGATGTGTAGCAGGTCACTGATCTGTTCTCCCGAATTATGAGGGCTTTGTTCTGCTCCTCATCTCTGCCTTCCAGCTCAGAGGGCTGGGTACCTGGAGAACAACTGATTTTGTTATTAAACACTGAGGCAAAGAAGGCATTAAGTAGCACAGTCTTTTCCACATCCTTTGTCACTATTGATCTGCAAATCTGCAAATGCCTTGGGCCAGCAAGGCCAGAGCCTTGACAACCTTGCAGATTACTGCCTTCCATCCAGAGGCAAAGCTCGCAATTGGCACTGCCTAAAAACACCACAGTGCAAGCAAACACCCCTGCTGCCTCCAGCTGAAAGTTCCTCACCCAGGGTAAGGAAGGGTCTAGCCAGGACAGCAAAACTGCTGTTGAAGCAGATTACAAGGCAACGCCCAATATCTGCTTCAGAAAAGCCGTGATAACAGAGGCCCCTGGGAGGAACCACTGCCTCTGTGAAAGGGAAAATTCCCAGTGGAGACACCATATAACATGCTTTAACTCTTGGTCAGCCCTGAAGTGGTTGGATGCCTGTGAGAAGGTGAGGTGTCCTGGGACTTTTCTGCTGGTACCTGGGCCTGGATGGCTTTTGGGATGCTATTGAGTTGACATTGTAGCACAGAGGCAGAAGCGCAACCCTCTTTGATGTTGTGCATGCAGTCCTGCCCCAGCACTGCCTCCTAGATTATCTGCCTGCTGCTGCAGAGCAGAACCCACGGTCCTAAAGGCGACTGCAGGACAGCCACAGGTCCCTGGAAGGCTGGGAGACACCATATGCTCTGCAGAGAGGGAAGGGGGGAAGAAGGGGTTAAAGAATAGAGGGAGGGACGGCTACATTAGCAGATGTCCAGGGCTGAAAAGTAGGTCACCTATTTCTGCCTCGGGGGGTGATTGAAAATCGACACTACATCAATGCACAAACAAAGCCGAGTAATAGAGCAAGGAATGAGCCTTAGAAGCCTCACAGAAATCCTCCTAGTACACACACAGCTTTTCTAACACACCATACAGAGCTATTAATTGAGACTAATTAAAAAAATATTTTACCCAGATAAACGTATATACAATCACATAAGAGGAGAGGCTAATGAAAAGGAGAAGAAATGAATGAAAAACACCCAATAAAAGCAGAATTTATCTTATTACCCACGTGTGTGGCAAGAACATTTCTCTCCCTCTCAGGATTTTTCATAGAGATGCACAGAGAGAAATGAAAGAGAAAACAATTTCTATTTCTGTTCCTTGTTTTTCCTATGTGGAATATGTTTGGAGAATTGTTTACCTGGAGTGAGTGCTTGATTGGATTCTGGTGAGGAATGTTTGAGACTGATGGCCAATCCAATACACCCGTGTCTGGACTCTTGAGAGAGGGTCACGAGATGTGTTGGAGTTAGAGTCAGAGAAAGTAGTATGTAGTTTTAGTATTCTCCTTTTATATAGTGTATTAATGTATTTTAGCATAGTTATAATAAAGAAATAATTCAGCCTTCTGAATTGAGTCAGACATCATAATTTCTTCCCATTGGGTTCACCTGCATTTACAATACATATGCAAGACTTGGACAGAGGTTCCAAGTTTTTCTTAGCAGCTTTATGAATATTATTTAGGCCTATATCCTCAAGGCTGAGTACTAACCCCAGCTGATGCCTTTGTGAGTCCTTGTAAGACAGACACTTGCAAATACTTCTGAGCTTGTGGCCCTCAGTGTGCCTTTGTCTCTCTGGACATGAAAAGTTTCCATAGCATGTCTGAAGCAGGTCAGGTGGTCTCTGCAAGGCACTGCCTTCCTCAGATGTTGAAATTACACAAATAGTTAATTGCAATCACCTACACTTTCCAGGAACCTAATCCCATGCTATGAGAGCAAGAAGGTCAGGACAGATGGGATGAGAAGGAGATGAGATACAGGAAATTAGGTGGGTTTCTCCAATCAGGTCAGGGAAGAGTTATTCAGTATTTATATTCTCTAATTTATTTTAAAAAAAAAAAAAAAAAAGGACAAATTCTGATAGATATAAAAGCAGCCCTAGCATGTAATGATCACTCCTGACAACACATTATCCCCACAGGATAAATATTGGACTCACAATAACACAAAAGATCTTTCAGGTAGGAAAAAACAACGGACTCTTACTATTTTGTATAATTTGTTCAGAAAACAGAATATTTCTGAACATTTATAGATTTTTAAGTGCCTTGGTGAGAAACTTCTGAAATACTTGAAATGCTACAGAAAACATATGGGTGTGGGGTTTATCTGTTTGGGGTATCAGAGTTACCAGGCACTCTTCAGAGCTCTCTGGTGCGTGATGTTCCAAGCATAGCTTAAAAACTCTTATTCATTGATGTCCTATTTCTTTCACACCAACAGTGAAATAACTTTTTGGAAAGAAGCTGTCAGATGAAATCCTCAAACACAAGGAATTAAATCAGCTATCTAAAATCCAGACTTGGAGGGAGACTCTGGGAGTGTTACACATCTGCTACAGTCAAGTCCTTGGTGAGATTCATTGAGTTTGAATAATTTTGTTCTCAAGCAGGGGCTGAAGAACTACCCTTGCATGCTGGCATCTTTCTTGAGCCATCCTAAGGTTAGTTCAAGCTCTGTTCAACCTGGATATGGCATCCTTAGTGTGCCTGTGCCATGTTCCTAATTTTAAAAGGCTTAAATAGCATTGTCAAGCGGGTCATGAGTTCTCTGTAAGGCATTTCCTATCTTAGCGATGGGAACTACCTGCAGAGGTAATTGCACTGAGACTTTTTAGGAGCCTAATCCCTTTGACAGATGCACTCCTCATCTTTGCATGCATGTTCCAGATCACGATGGCAACAGGTCAGGATAGATAGGAAGAGAATGGGGCTGAGATAAAGAAAGCATCTTCATTTTCCTTGAAGTACTGTGAAGGCTATTTTTCCACCTTGTTTTTTATTTGCTCATTTAGTCATCATAGTTCTCAAAAGATGGGTCAGCTGATCATAGTGGTCCTTCCTGGCACTGAAACAGGGAAACATCTTCCTTTGTTGCTTCCTACCCAGTGGAGCAATGGGTTAAAAACAGAGTTTGGCTCTGCATTTCAAGGCTGCAGTACTTAAACTATGTGCAAGTTTTGATCTTGACCAGTTTGGGGAAATGACATACCCTTTTTTGTGGTGTTGAAAGGGAAGAAAGAGAAGAGAAAGGAAAAACTTAAAGCAAGAATACCCTGCAACTGCTGTTTATGACATGTACCTGATTAGATGACTGTGTTCACAAGTTTGCCTGGGTAATCCAGCCTGTTTCTATCATCTCTTTTGGTTCCCTGCTACCATTTCACAGAAACTCAGTAGTTACTAGGCAGCTGTATCATGGCTGGTTGGGAAACAACACAATATATGCACTTTGCATGCTTCAAAAGCACCTTAATTTTCCTAGGAGAAGTACCATGAAGGTAATTTCTCTAACTTGTTTTTCCTCTGTGCTAGTTTAATCAGCTTAGCCATTAAAAGATAACACAGGTTTAGGACTATCATTAGACCAGAGTGGTCATGTGGTTATGCTGGTAATTAGCACTGTTGCTGAACAGTGTGACATTTTTTTAATAGGTAACTACATAATAAAACCAGTACCTAGTGCACATCTAATGAAGCAGAAGAAAAATGAACACTCTCTCTCCTGGGATCTGTATTCAAGCACTTGTCTAGCAGTTTTCTGCTCTCTTTTCTCCTCTGTCGTATTAGTATCTCTAGCAAAAGCATTTAAGTGCTTGAAATGAGATTAAGACACTGCAGTCTAAAATTGCAATCCTGCAATCCTCCTGCTCAGCTGCTCTGTAAGCTTTAAGGTATCAAAAAATCCCTGGGAGGGCCCTGAGATGGTCAGACAGGTGACATCTGAATCATGGTGCAGAAGCTCTGTATCATTTGGCCTGAGTGCCCAGAGTTCAGTTTGGTCAGCATCCCAAATCCTGGGCCTGCTTCCAGGATACTGGGCTCTTTACAGCTCAAGAGTCCTTAGGTATGTTTTCTGTTGAAGCATGGCCAGAGGGAAAAGAAATGGAGATGGTGCTCCTTTTATACAACAGTCTTAATGAGATGGTGATATAACTCCCTTTGCCATGGAAATTTCAATCTGCACCTCCCAAATGTATCTATAATCACCAGATTACAAGCTCTCCTGGGGTGGGAAGTGCTGCAAGGTTCCTGTCAGGTCAGTTAGGACCAGAGAAGGATGAGCAATGCTGTACACCATTTATCCAAGACAATTTCTCTGTACCTGCACTGGGTGCTGCACGTGTATGTTGTTTAACATATTAAATTAAATTTTGCTCACCTTTATAGATGGACTTATGTTCCAGCCTCAGATGCTTGTTGGAAACTGTACATTATTTCTTCTGCTTACAGTACACACTCTGTTTTGCTACTAGAACATGATTTGCCTCTGATGTTAATAACTGATGTACCCAGGTCTTCCCCTGTTCCCCATGATTCCCAAGCATTACGTTTGGATGGAAGATAACCTTCAACCCTTTTACCTGGCCAAAATAACCAAAAGGCTCAAGGGAAATCACCCTGCATATATATGGGGACAGTGGTAGCACCAGGACTTAATGTTAGGATCATTAGGCTTCCATTTCTTCACCCATTTTCCCATGTAATAAGGTTTATGGAGTTTCTAACAAATTGTGTCAAATTGTCTTTTGACCATGCCCTCACCAAACACTGTTTCCTCTGCTCTTTTAGGAAATGGATGGGAAGAAATCAGTGCTTTGCCCATACTGCTGGCACACCTTGCCAGCCTTCAGCATCCTCTCAGAAAAAGAGAGGATCCATCCCAAGAGGGATGGGGTTGATTAGTCAGGACAGCTTTCCTGTGCAGCCACCCAGCAGGCTCCCATACCTGCATGCTGGGCCCACACTGTGCACTTTGCTGGCAGGTCAGCAAAGTTAACAGGTTCTGTCTGCTTTTTGCTCCCAGGTGATATGCCATTGATTGCTAGTGCTGGGCAGGTGGGAGAAAAGGATGACCAATACTTATATGTGGTCTCTCATGGAGATGGAAGGGGGATGGCCAAAGCTCTCAAGTGAAAACAAAATGGGTTGGTGGCAAAACCTCCCTCCATCTTTCCAGCAGGACCACAGGCATGGTATGGAGGTCCAACCCTACTCTCCAGCAGCTTTGCCTTAGAAATGCTAATAGGATCAATGCTTGAAATGAGATTAGAAAACTGAACTTGAACATTTTGTTTCAACTAAATGGATTAACTTGTGAGTTTGGTGCAGTCAAACATCCATGTTCATCCTCAGCAGCATAACCATGAAGTTATTGTTCAGAAATGCTCCTTCTCTCTCCTTAAAGCTACTTAGTTTTCGCAACTTTAATAAGATGTTGAGCTAAACATTAAATCATTAAAATTCTTTAATAGGCTTTATTCTCTCCTGAACTGTAAGATGAACAATAGATTTTGTAAGGGCTATGTTTAAACCAGAAGTGTTTCTGTCTTGGCTGACCTTACTCTACAAATACTCTTTCAGTGTTAACAGAGATGGGGACTCTGGTGCAAGGCACCTAATTGTCCCTCTTTTTCTGTGTCTGTTTCCTACATGTAACAGGTAGTTTAACCTCTTTTGATCTGGTTGAGTTTCACTCTTCTGAGCACTATGACTTCATTTTATGCCCGAGTTGATTGAACAGCCAGATATCACCACTGGGGAGGTTCAGCTTCAGACCCATGTGCAGGTGTTCCTGGTTGCCTTGCAGGCACTGGTGCTTCCCTGTGCCTATGGGAAACCCAAGTCTGCAAGCTGGGTAAACTGGAAATAAACAACCTCTCAGAGGATCCCTCAGCTGCCCTGTGGGGACAAAGGGAAGATAACATGTTGGTAGGGACAGGACTATGGTTGTCTTGGCAGAGCTGAAGCAGAAATACACTTCACATGGTCATGGTCTGAAATGATGGTTCTGTAAAAGCAGCAGCAGCTAATGGTGAAATGCTGCTGAAAGGCTACAGTCCTGCCTGCCCTCCTCTGCTGTCACATCTAGCAATTGCAGAGCCACAGGACAAGCTGGCTTGGCAGGCTGTGCCAGTCTTGGGAAGACAAGTTTGCTCTCCAAGGTGTGGCAGAGTTGCTGAGTCACAGCAAGCCCTAAGAAATGCTTCTCTTGGCATGTGCAGGGAGCCCACCTGAGCCCACGAGCTCCTGGAGGGAGCACAGCTCTGGCTGCACACTGAGGAAACGTGCTCAGCATCCTTTGATGGAGTGACAGTGACTGAGCAGGCTGATTATTTGTAAATTTTGTATTTGCCTATCACTTTATGTTGAGGAGGTGGCTTCCTCGAGGGAGTAATTAATCAGAAGTGCTGTCTCTCAAAGTGCCACAGGCAGCAGCCATCACCGTTAAGACACTGACACTTGAAACCCTAGCCTAGTGATTTAGTAAAACACCATCAAGCTTTAGGTCCATTGCCTAAAAGAGTTCCCCTGCCAGCAATACAATACTACAATCACCTGAAGCAGGCTAGGTTTTTGTTTCTGATTTGCTTGTAATCACAGGCACAGGAATGGTGTGAGGATCTTCAGATTTGCACATAACTTCCAGGGATAAAGGACTGGGATTTCAGTCTTTTGCCTCTGGTTCAGCTTATTGTGTGATGTTTCACAAGCCACAAAACCTCCCCATTTCCCCTAGCTGTTCAGTAGTGTTTTGAGATCCTCTTTGTAGACATGAAGTGTTTCTACCTTGAGATAGTAGTGCCCTGGCATTAGCAACTTATATGGGTAATGGCAGCTCCACCTGGACAGTTGTAATTTTAAAAAATAATTGCAAAAAATCCAGATTTAGAAATACATTGATAGGAAATCTCTTAGATAAGAACAGGGCCTATGAAGTCCCAAACTCTTCTGGAATTGTGATGGTGGTGACAGGGCCCTTGAAAATTAGATATGTGCCAGTGCAAATATTATCCTGCCTCTTCTAAGCTGAGATGCATCCCTTGCTGCCAGGGGACATCTGCTCACAATATAGGAAGTATCCATAGCAGCACAGTTTAACACTTAGTTATCTGTGAGAACATGCTTAATATTTACAGGAACTATACTAGGTAACTAACCATTTTACTGTTGTAGCTGTTCTACACTCAAGCTATTAATTCCCTCTCCAGATACCACTTCTGTTGCTTAATATATA